AATGACTAAAGTTGTACGTGTGGCTTGTTGTACACTCTTCATGTAATTACAAACTGTAGGGGAACCCTATGTGGAACTTCATATATCAAACTAATAAAATTCGCTCAGCCATGTAAGCCACCTTAAAAATAAAAAAAATAAAAAAGAATTAATAGTATTAACTTCTTTAGGTTCAATTCTTTGTCCATCTTTAATCATTTCTTTTATAATTCTATGTTTGTTTGAAAGATATCTAATAAAATCTCTATTTGTTTTAACTTCATATCCATATTTTTGATTTTTTTCTTTATATAATACTAAAACATTACAAGTTTAAACAGTTGTAAAATCAGATTGTGCAGGTTTAAGATCATAATATGTCTATACAAAACTTTTTTTTTGTCTTTTAATTAGTTTTTTAATAAAAACAGGTGAAATAGAAGTAGCTAATAATAAGATATTAATAGGAATAGATGATAATAAAATATTATCAGAAGAAGGTATATCAGATGAAATAGACATAGAAATTGATTTAGAAATAATATTATCTTGTTCATAATTAATAAAATTTTTATAATTTATAAAAGGTCTATTATTATAAAGATTATCACAAGTATCTAAAAAATTATCTTTACTAGGTATTGCTATAACTATATTGAGAGAAAAATATATATTTACTGATGTATTTCTAACTAGTCTTTTTGATATATTTATTGAAATATATGGATAAAATATATAAATAAAATATTGAAAAAATATAATAAATATATTAAAAATAAAATAAAAAACTAAAAAATAAAAAAAAACTAATAACTAATATAGTTTATAAAAAATAAAAATGTAAAAACAATAATATATAAAAGAAACTCAAAGAAATTAAGATCTAGCAATCTTAGTATAGTAGTTAGGTTACCAGATTACCATATAAGAGGTCTAAAGTTCAAATCCTACTATTGATGAATTTGAATAATTACTCAGATCTTTGTACTCAACTTACAATAAACTTTGCTTATTTTTGGGAGTTATAACCTTGTAAATTATATTGTACTAATATCAATTGGATATTAGAAGTATAATGCAATATTTAAGTTATATTGTATGAATAAATCTTGATAGATTCTATGAGTAGAGGACCTGCATGGTAGAAATTCTGAGTTTGATGAAGTAGTACAGATTTTAATAGTTAAGCCAGTTAATGCCTAATCTAATAAAAAATCTGAGTATGAAGGATATGAGATTGATAGGTATGAGTAAGTCTGCTGTATAATGCAGCCTGGTGCCTTGTATTAGTAGCAACACTAACTTAGCTTAGCAGCTAACTAGATTGGAAGGATCTACCTTATAAAATATTCAACTGAAACTTAGAAGACTATATCTATTAGATGGCCATAGCAAAAACTGAGTTTGTATAAATATTGACAAGGGTCTAAGCCAAGTAAATCTGTGAAATAGGCATATAACTACTCTGATAGGAATTACTTCTGAAGTTAGCTAGAGCTCTGTAGCTACAATATATTGAGCAATATATACCTTGAGGAAAACTTAAGCTATATGGTAAATAGATCTGTGTATAAGTCAACTAGCTTAAGTAGTTAAATATAGTAGTAATATTAGTTTAGAATAGAGGAAAGAGTTAATGATCAGAGTGTTTAAATAGATAACTCATAGGTAGGTTGCAGATATAGTAGTATAGGTAGAACCAACAGATGATCAATTGTCTATATGGTAGACTACTTAAATTAGACAATAACTAAAGTTGTATGTATGGCTTGTTATACACTTATCATATAACTATAGAACCTTAAAAAACTGTTTATGTGAAGTTTTGTAATAACAAATTAATAAAATCTAATTAGCTAAGGAAGTAGCTTTAATAATAAAAAAAAAGAAACTCAGAAAAATTTAAAATTATAGTCTGTAAAATTATATACAACTAATTGTTTATACCTAATATTACAAATAAAGTAAATCGAATCTAATTTAGTATTAAATTATTAATAGATAACCAGATATTCAAATAATTCAGATAATTTATCTATTAAAATTCTGCTTATTCAAATAACTTATCTATTAGCCAAACTCTTATTCAGATATTCAGATATTCAGATAACTTATTTGGATAACTTTATCTAGATCTAAGTACTAATACATATTCTGAAAAGATCTAAGTCATATAGTAAATGAATTCACAGACAAGTCAACTAGCTTAAGTAGTTAGATATAATAATGATATTAGTTTAGAATACCAGAAAGGGTTAATGATCAAAGTGTTTAAATAGGTAACTTATAGGTAGGTTGCAAGTATAATAATATAGTATAAAACCAACAGATAGTTAATTGTCTATATGGTGAACTATTTAAATTAGACAATAACTAAAGTTGTACATCTAACTTATTATACACTCATCATGTAACTATAAAACCTTAGAAGATTATTACTATGGTAACTTTGTAATAACAAATTAATAAAATCTAATTGACAAAAGAAGTCATCTTAATAATAATAATAATAAAAAAATATTAAATAACATTTTATACTTATATTACTTTTTTTAACTATTCACTATTATCTTTGTTATTTTTATATATAAGAAGCTTACAGCAAAAGGTGGCTTTGGGATATTTTAAAATTTGATCTTTAAATAAATATATCTCAAAATCTAAAAATTAAAAACAAATAATTATTATTTAAATTCTTCTCAATGAAAAGAATTAAATATATAAAAATTATTTGTTTCCAATTTCTAGATTTTGAGATATATTTATTTAAAGATCAAATTTTAAAATATCCCAAAGCCATCTTTTGCTATAGGGCTCCCCATATTTTGATTTGTTTTTTATACTTAAAAAAACAAAATTTTGCAAATTTAGCTTATATAAAATGCTGATTATTATATCAAGATCACGAGGTATTTAGAAAAAAATACCTGACCGTTGTGTACAAGCGGAAACGAAGTTTCCGCTAATACCCAACGGATCAGGATATTTTTATTATTTAATACCTAATATTATACTAAATTTGTATAATGGGTATTTTACTATGCCTTACGTAGTTTACCTCTCTAGTAAATTTATCATTACATTTTTAAATTTATCTGAATTTTCAAGAATGATAAAAATTACAAATAAAATCTAAAAAGTTTATTTGATGCAGATGAAAATAATAATAATAATATATAAATTTTCAAAAAGGAAAGACAAAATTTTTTCAAGATAAAATACAATTCACAAAAAGAAAAAAAATTTTTTTTACAATAATAATAATCCCGGTAACTATGAAAATGTACTAATATTGATGCACAAAAAAAAAAGTGGTATTCATATCCCGGCCAGGTCAAATTTTTTAAAAAAAAATTTCGTTTTTAAGAAAAAAAAAATCGGCTGGCGGGGTTTGCTTAAAAGTTTAATGTCATAAAAACCAAAAAAATTTTTTGTATGGCCTAATGTAAATAATAGTTGTTAATGAAGTATATGATGAATATATATATATGTATTACAAGTGTATGTTTTATATACATGCACAAGTGACATGAGTCGTTTGTGTTATACTTGTGACCAGAAACTATTTTCTGAAAGATTTGAGAATGTAATTTCGGGTTTCAGATTAATCTAGTTTCGGGTCACGTATACTTTGTGTGAATATAATCTATATTATATAACAAGTTGAATAATACCTATTTCATGAAAAAAAAAAAGAAAACCATTGACATTATATGTTCATTTAATTTATTGCCAATGGAATTGGAGCAAGTGATTTTCTCCGAAGCATTGATATAGGTGGAGGAGGAATATATTGTTCGTTTTCACTTTCGTTGTCACTTTCTATATCTGTTTGGAAATCGATATAAATAAATTTGTGAATATAACAACAATAATACAATAATATTATGTAAATAACTCACCAGAAAATTCAGGGGGACAGTTAGTGTCATATTCTAAACGAATCAACAAAGAATGGATTTTTATCAATACATGTATTTCATTTATAACATCAAATCTATTTTACTGTAATATTTATGCAAACCTTCATATGTTATTTCATCGTTGCACTGTGAAGATCTATCATTAACTGAAAAGAAAAATACATATATATATAAATAATTAGCATTCTATTCATAAGTGATAACATTTAGAATGTTTTCAATACATACAATCAAGATATGATGTCATTATCGGCGGATCCACAACTGTGAATGAATTTTGGGGTGTCGGTAAATTTGGAAATAATAAGAAACGGCTATTATAAAATGCAAAAGGATGTATGTCCGGAGAGACCGGGTATTTTGTATGTGAAATATGTGATGCTAGGATTTGTTCAAACATATCAACATCATCAATGTCATTTGAACTATTTATTGCAAATTCATCTAAACCAAGAAGACGACGTTGATAAGCATATGGGGACAGTAATATATCTACAATTTC